CGCGATCCGGTGAATGTGCTGCAATCGATATCTCTGTCGGATAACGGATACACGTCTATCAATTGGCTATTGTGTCTCATTGTGAATGTAAACATATCATCGGGTCAAGCACAGTCACTATAACTACATACCACACATATCCAAGTCACAGTTTGTGATTTTGAGAAATCAAGAAAAGTGGAACACAGACAATTAAGATGTCATCCAACCGTTACTTTGGTGCCCATTATGACGATGAAATCTACACACTGCGCCAGGGACAATACACACAAAGAATAAGCGTTAGAGAACAAATACGGCATAGCCCTTTTACGGTAAGTGGATAAACGCGATCACGACACGTATGAGGCCAGTAAAACGGATCTAAAAATGGACGTTGCAAATTGGATATATAGGTGACTACAGTAAGGGAAGGCGTGACAGTGACTTGTTCTTCGCTTGCGTATATGAACACGTTCATTTGGAACTTCATTCCGTGGCTCATGCGATGTGCATTTTGCTTGCTGCTGCTCCCTTGAATCACTTGATTGCTTGCGTGTTGCTCGTCCTCAAAGTTCAGTAAACAAGATGAACTTATCACACGGGCTACGTTGTGCCTTTCTCACCGAAGGCTCGGCCAACGACGGTCGTTTATACTGCCCAATCTTGTGGTAATTATTGAAATGAGAATCTGTTGTGGAGTTACAAATGCGACCCACCTTTTAGTGACCGATACAATGCATCATGTGAAAACAGGGGCGATTGGCGGATGTCCCGTCACACAAAAAGGGAGTTCTCCACCTTGAGCAGAACCAGTTTGACATCCCATCAACTGAACACAAATGTTTGTGGGATCGCGTGCAGCAGACTGTCGTTGAATGTTTCAACATGTTGTGGACACGAACTAGGAAATCAGATGATAGCTAACTTGAACCCGGAGACCTAGAGACCCATCATCTGTAAAAGGCCAACAATACCTGTTTATTCAAGCCTTTGTTCATTGTTTGGCTAACATAAAACGTAGTACAATGTAAATTTGTAAAGCAGTCTGATAAACTACTGGCAAACTTTAAAGTGTAAAAGAAATCCTGACATCGCGTTTACAGGTATTGATCATACTTGCGCGATATGACTATGGAGTTGAAAATATATTTCGGCTTTCAATATCATCCCTGTGTATCGAAAGCTATGGATGAAGAGCGTTCACGACTAAATACTTGGGGATCTTTTCCTACCGAGTTTTTCTTATCTTAGAACTGCGGCGCCAACGAACCTCGTCGAAAACGACAAAATGGCACTTCTATTAGGTATTCAACCAATAAAAGCAACAAAGTAAGTGGATACTATCAAAGAAAAGTTGTAAACTTTTCGTATTCTCTGGAACTCGTAATATGCACGGAAGTTAATCGTTTAACAAGGCACAAACTGGGAGCATCTTAATTCATGTACAACAGGAAAAATAGCATGCCATCACTCAGTACCGGCCGTATAAGTCATCAGCAGTCAGCCAATCAATAATAGGCAGACCTGTGGTGCAATCTGATTGGTCAATGGAATCAAGGTCCCATGTGAGGAGGTCCGTGTCATGTACGTATGTTTGTATGTCTGTATGTGAACCAGTCTGTGTGTGGATGTGTACATCGAACATTGATATTTCGCGTTCAATGAGAGCAAAGTATACAAGAGTTATCCAGCTAATGCGTTACGTCACACAACAGGACTGATATAGAGTAATACCATATTCGTTTCCATGAATGAGGATGAAGGCGCTAAGTTTGAGGAGGAAGAGATCTGACGAAAGCTAGCGTATCGCACGAAGTCAATCAATATGAGTAGTTTGCTGGCCAAAATAACCAGAAGTAAACGAAAAACGAAGGCATTCAATCAATCAGTACCGCTGTCCACCTGTCCTTTTTCTTCTGTGCCCCATGGCAACCCTGTGGTTAGCTGCTTCCCGCTTCCTAAACTTAATCCGTATGTAATCATCTATTCGGTAAGATAGAAGGAACATATTCTAATCACAATTTTTTCTCGTGGTCTTTGGGGCTAACATTTCACGTATCCCCCCAAAGGTCTTATCTGAATCTATATGCCTCCGGGCAAGTTGCACGGATGATGTTGCCTAGCCGGCTACGAGACGTCTTCGAACAATGATTCCAGTTCGGAGAACACATCAACATTAAGATCCATGAAAGAATCACAGTCGATCAACGAGGACGCAAAGAAGGTGCGGCACTGCAAGTAACTGTCAGTTATCTGTGCAAAACCAGCGAATGCTACTCAACCGTAATCAACACGATAACCAATTCGCGACCGCCAAAAGGCAGAAAATGCGACGACTCCAAAGTCTTGACGGGGCGTTTAGAGGTCAACCGATCACCTACAACACATTCAACGGTAAACGTATTTATGCCAGAAAACGTACTCCTGAGGTGGTACGAAACGCTGTTGATCCCACCTTAGTAATTGGATGAAAGCACGGAACCTCAATATATTCATGATGGGAATACAACGCTCAGACATCCAGACCATAATTCAGCCCTCGCAATAAGCTTGACGACTGAAGGGACTAACTTGCACACGCACACGTCCGAGGCTAGACTGTGTGCCAAACAAATCGCGGTAGAATAATCTTTATAGAACGAAAAACGCTCCACGATTCGCATGTGGTACAGGTTGTAACAGTTACGGTACGCGCCACACACTCACAACCAAGTTTAAATAGAGCTGTAACTTCGGCGAACTTGTTAACTGATTTGAAGCAACACACTGATCGGAAACCTTTCATGTAACTTTGCAATCAATCTTCCAATCAGACCGACATCGACCGGCCAAAGTGTTATGAAAAACCCACGGTGATTGAACCACTTCCGTTTCAACAAATGACGGGTTCATGAACGATACATGGTCATTGTCGTTCACCTACCGTTGTGATGTGAATCTTGTTCAATATTTCTCACTGCGCACATCTGAGTGGCTCTTATAGCTTAAGTGGCGAGTTAAGGGGTGCAATAAAGTTTCACAAACATTAATATTTGCAGATGATGCAAAAATATGGGAAACGAGCAGAAAACCAGAGGATTCGCTAGCACTTCAGAGAACACTTAATGCTGCCTATTAACGGTCGATCGAAAACGACATGGAATTTATTGCATCAAAATGTACGGTCGTATCCCTTTGATACAAAACTCGGTTTCCGTATTTCCTGGGAGATCAACAACTTGTGTCTCTTTCGAATGAAGGATCTCGGTGTCATTGTCTAAGAAGACCTAAGTTGTTCTTTAAACTGCTCCCAGGCGTCGTCCACCGCCGTAAGACATGTTGGTTTGCTAAAGCGAGTATGGCTAATTTGAACCTAAGCTGCTTCCAGGGTTGTTATCAGTTTATATTCGGCCTCACATGGAGTACACAATTCAAGCGTGGAATCCATGGCTGGAACGTTCACAGATAATGGTCTCCAAAATGGTCAATGGACTGCATTCTAAGAGTTACGCGGAAAAACTGGAATCACTGCATTTTTACTCCACACAGTATCGCCGCGTTCGAGGGAACTTGATCTTGATGTATCAAATAATGCAGAACCCAGATCATCCATGTTGTTCACTCTTTGCCTTGTCGTCCAACACTCACCTGAGGGGGCACTCATTCAAATTAGTACTCTAAAACGGCCGACTAGAATACCGGGGTCATTCCTTCGCTCTCAGAGTGTGCACTACTTAGGATTCCCTACCACCACACGTTATTTCTGCGCCCAGGATTCATGCACACACTGTATGAAACTCTGAGACGTCTTGAATTTCAACATCCGCATCACTGCACGAAACAAGGATTGTGAGATTCGTCTACTTTCTATGAACGGTGCATCGACTCATTTGTTCTAAACCCTAAAGGACTAGAAAAGGAACCGCTGGCAAGTGTCTTCCACAATAAAACTTTGACTTTGACATCATCGGAGTGAAATTATTAGCATTTCGCACCCAGAAGAGCACGTTTTCCCAGGATGTAATCAAAACCCATTTGGTTTTCCTCTGTGGGACTGTAGCATGATCATCATCATACCAAATTTTATTAATTTCTGGTGGTTCGGTTGCTGGGAGATGATGGAAACTCCAGATGGGGTTAATAGCATTTCTTGCATCGTAGACTGGATTTCCACGCATAGAAAAATCAAACAGTTTGTAGCTCACAGTGTTTTTCTATACTACTAACATGTATGAGTAGTAGATGCAACTGACGGTTTATCTAAACGGTCAAAAATGAACAAGAACTCTTGGAGAAAATTGTTCCTATCAAAATGGTCACTACAGGGAATAAAGCAGCTACTATTGAGCCGTTCCATTAACTATTCCATGTGCATGTGAGAATTCGGAAGAAATGTTCCAAAGGNAAAGGAGACATTGTGTTGTATGGAAGCCCGTGAACGAAATCCACGAGTGGGACAACTGGATTAAAAATATCACGCATATCTTGTTCACAGAAAAATTTGACAGGACATTTATTCCATAATTTAAAGGTGCTAGTGGTAGTTTCATTTCAATAAGACAGAAGTTGGCACAGTGGATTATTAATTTATGATAGTTCCCACAAAATTGATGACATCAGTCAATTCGATCGTATTGGCATACTCCAAAACAGAGTAGCCTAAGCGCGGCGTTTTGTGGAAACAGACTACTGTTCCAGCGTTGTCTCGCTCACAATTCACCTGCAATGATATTTAAAAGTTCTCGGTTGAAAAAGTTATCGAAAAATAATAATAATAATATTATTAGTGGTAGCATAATAGTCTTATTCATGCTCACTCGACTGTGCAATATGATTTCTCTTCAAATCGCAACGCGGGGGTGGGGGAACAACATGCACATGCACGAGGTCAACCAGAAAATATAAGAATCACTCACATTTGAGTGCGTGACGTAACAGGAGAGCGGTCCGGTTAATCATATCTGTTCTTCTTGCTTCCTTCTGGTTATTACCCAATGGGATCCACATGTCACGCAGAATGTACATATCTATGCGGGAATAACGAGACGGGAAACGCTGTGACTATTGTGTTTACCCATATGTGTACGGATGTTCATGCCATGGATAATGAATAATTGCAATTTTATTCCAAAATCAGATGAGCTGAATCAAAAATACTTTGTTTTCTAGGATGGCATCAGTCAGTTGTGCGCACAGAGCGAGCGCTTGTTTGGTGGCGCCACACATATCAAGGGAAAAATCATGCTGTATTTATCCGGTTGCTCACAGTCTAGAATTTTCCGGATTGAAAGTTACGAGCGCGCCGATGGAGGATATGGACAAGTCGGGTTTCCGTATTCTGTCTGTTGCCCTGAACCCCACGCATCTAATAACATGGAGAAAATGCCGGCACTTTGGTCACAGTCGAGCTAGTCCGAATCCATTTCAAACGCATACTGTGAGAATTCTCATGGGAAGATTTGGTTTCGCCTGACCCACTGTTTCAAGCGCTTTAAATCGGTAGCGTCAAACGCGTTGTTTAGTACAGTTCAAGGTACAACACCGACAGATAGTGGAATGGTTTTTCTGTGTTAACCAGCAAAGCGTCTTACACTTCTTTCTCAAACCAACAAGTGCGCGAGGGCGAAAGCAGTTTTAGGCCCAGTTGGAACAACCACATTCGTGCGCCGGTTTTGGCCATCCATTGGGATAAAAGAGAAGGATGAAGATTAGAATGTTGAGATCAAATTCAAAGGGAAAAATAGAGAATTCATATGGACTGATGTTAAGAGAATAATGATTAAATGCATCAGCGCCACTGTTTGCGACACACAGCTATATCGCTCAGTGTCTTTAATGATCTCGGGGTCCCCAACCAGGGATCGCAACGAGACCTATGTAGCCCAGTGCCTTGGTTAGGGTTTTCATACCCTCATGCCAGGTCTTTTTCGTTGACCGCCTTTGATCTTTTTCCAACAGCGGTCTCCTTTGTGCGTATTTGTGCTTGTACACTAATGTTCTTTTGAACAAGGCATATTCATCGCACAAGGAGATAATTATCTGAGCGAGTCTGCGAACACCACCACCCGCTTTATATGAACTATGGAACTTACAGGCAGAAGCAGCCGGTTTCCATGGGATTGGTGCCTTTTATTGCTTCTCAAAGGCGTTTTTAAGAACACTAGACTTTCATTTACATCCTAACATGCGACACAGCCAATCTCTGGTCCAACTCTCGTAACCGGGAAGTGTGTATACGTGCAAAAACTAAAACGTAGGCGAAATTCGGTCGTGAAACTAAAATTCCTGTTTTTTAGCTGGATCTGTGTTTGATCTCTTTCTCTCACTTTCCCTCTCTATCTCGCTCTGTGTCTCACTTACGATATCCAACATCCTGATGCGTTAACCAGATATCCAATAACCGAAAGCAATGGTGTTTGTTTCCTCATAAAACCAAAGCTTCAGTTTGGTCTCGATAGGAATTATTATTCCAGGAGTTTCTTCCTGTATTCCGTATTGGATTAGATGGATTGAGGAATGAGTCAAAAGACTTTGACCTAAACATTCTTGTATTCTATTGATTAAAAAACGGTCCAAGTAAACAGACACACAGAGGAACGCTTCTACTGCTACTCGGTCCTCGGAAATTCACTTACCATCGGCTTCGACTTCGAGGAATCCGACCGGATTGACTATACCCGATCGACTGTCGCTGGCTTCGATGTAGATGTGCCGTATCGCTTTGTTCTTTTCACCGTGAAACTCGAGTGATAGAAATTCTTCGGTAGTAGCCTTGATCACTTCCAGTGTGACAACGGTCGTACAAGGGGTAGGGAGCGGGGAAGGGATTGTTGGGGTCGGTGGTTAGCCGGCAAAGACAGACTGTAAAGTGTCATGCAATTTGAGGTTCTCACACTCTTTGGTAACCGATTGAAATTCAGCTGCTCATATAGATGAGAATATTTTGCTCTTCACTTAGATCACTACTGGGTGGCGGGGGCGCAGTGGCTTAATAACTGTCACCAGCATACTTTGGATCCTATGGTTCGGGGTTCAAGCCCGGCCACTACCACCCAACTCTGGTGGTAGGCAGCCTTGCTGTCTTCCGGTTCAATACCACACTTAACTTCATGGGGTCTTATGTGGTTAGCCACTCAAAGTCCTGGAGCTTGGGTTACCAGCTAGCATCACTAAATGACAGGTCCTTGTCTTCTGTTCATGACACTGAGTTGTGTAATTAAAAAAATAAGTTGAGAATTATGCGTTGTGAATGAATATGAGCTAATAAATTGAGAGTAGGAAATAAAACTGTTCTTGGTTGGATGTACGATGATCGATAGAAGCGCCTATTGCCTAGCCCCCAACAATGATACGGCTGAGAACACTACTGCAGAACAAATATCAGTGTCTTATTGATTATGAAGCTATAGACAAATATGAGTGGATAAATTAGGCATACGTGAACGACCTGGTGACGCACCAATCAGATCGCGTCCTTGACACTCCGATTGGTCGATCGGACGACAGCTGTCTGATTCGTCCCAGTCATTCAATCCGGAATAGGCTCGCGAGAACACTTGTAGTGTGATGCGGATCCATGCGCAGCTTGTCGGGTTCTGTGAGCACCGTCCTAACAAAACCCTCGTTCGACCGCACATCGCATGTATAAATCGTTACAATGGGCTCGCGGAAGTCAGTAGAAAATGACAGTCAAAGATTTGCACTTCACGACAAGCACTCAGGGACATTAAGTATAAGACCTTGTTCGTCACAGCGTCACTAATTTCGAGGTGATCCGGTTTTCACGTATCAATCATTGCATCACACCATCCTTACAAAGTGTTCCTATTAAGTAACATCCATTGAAACCGAAGCTCCAGACTGCTTGAGTAAAGTTTTGCCTTTCCAATGCACACAACCAGAAACGCTTCTCAACCCCATTTTTGATTGCGCCAATAAAGTTGGTTTGTTCAGCTTTCTTCTCACTGAATATTGGAACATTTCTTTTTATCTAACTTAGGAGTGAATGTGGCTATCTGGAGTGTTTTCAAATATATAAACACTCCCACAGAATGCACGATGGGAAGCGGAAAACAACAATTAAAATGCCAACTGTTTAGTAACCCGACCATCTTCATGTTTCCTTCGTAAATCCTTTTCTGTAACTAGTCATATAAATTGTGTTGTACTAGAATGCTGGTGTTTTTTATCCCCTAGAGGATTCATAAGAACAATGTTGGTCAAAAGTTGTGCCTATGAAATCGCATGGAATAAAACCCAAATCCGTTTCTTTTTTATAAAGCCATGTGGCCAAGCGTCATGCATCGATTATGTAGCTCGGAGGTAACGGCTTTAGCTTCCCACCAGGAGTTTCACGGTTCAAGACCTGTTTGCACACTGCTGCTAAGTCCCGACAAGAACACGAATCACTTGTTCAGTGCTGTTTCTCCGCCTTCACGCAAACTTTTTGAATGGGGATGTTTTCCTGATTTGTTCAACCACTTTCTTAGGAGGTTTAAAGATTAGCAGGGCAACACAGTGTCAGGTAAACGCATAACAGTTATTCTCTGGATTTTATACACAGTTGAAGCGTCAATGAAGAAAACGAGTACCACTCATTGTCTTTATTTACAAACAACCACTAAAAACTTTCAGTTCGCTGAGTTTGAAATGATGAGCTTTGTGAGACCGTAAGGGTACGTTTGCACGGCAGGTAACGAACGTGGACATTATTCGACCAGACGACTAGTTGTGGTGGTCACGTCAGCCAATCAACCAATCATGGAGACGCGGCTAACAAGCGCGGGTTTAGTGCTTCTTGAGTGTGTGGTTGAGTAGGAAGAATACGTGGTTCATGGAATGAAATGTACAACAAAATATTATCTATCCCAGCTTGCGAGATGACGCATACCCTGGAGCGACACGTTACAGTTTTAGGACAACTCCGATCAACCAAGCTTCACGGGTGACGTCAGCAAAATGTGTACGTACCAGGGCTTCTGAACTACAAACCATATGCCGATTGTATCAACCAGTCAGAAACCGTGCGGCCCAGTCGAAGTTTGCTACTTAGACTTCAGTAAAGCCTTCGATGCAGTTAATCACAGGTTGCTAAGTAAAAAGATAGCTAACTTCGGAATTAGAGGATCCCTGGCAAGGTGGATCTCAGACTTCCTGAAGGACAGAAGCTTTCAGGTCAGAGTAGCCGACGCTCTTTCTAGCCAAGGAAAGGTCATTAGTGGGGTACCACAGGGACCCCTATTATTTCTTCTTTATATTAATGATTTAACATCACATCTGAAAAACCCTTGTTACATCTTCGCAGATGATGTGAAGATAAAAAGTAGCGGTAAAAGTGCTGATCTGGTGGAGGATATGAGTAAAGTAGCGCGGTGATCACAGAAATGGAACATGCCACTAAACTTTTCCAAGTGCAACCTGCTAACAACGAATATAGATCGGTGGCCTAGCAACACGCAAG